ATTCAGATGATCCTATAGTGGCATGGATAAAGGTGCATGTAATCATAATAAAATGAAAACAGAAGAATTCACAATTCACATCCACGTGTGAACGTGTGCACCAAAAATGAAAAAATAGACAATATAGAGATGGGTACTTTGCCGGTTTACTAGACATGCGACATCGTAACGATTAAAATATTCAGCAAAGTTAAGTTGTTTTTACGGATATTTTTCCAGGACATTTTTTTCAAATTCCGGTCCGGAATGTCCGCATAAATCCAGTCGTATGGAAACTCTAGTGTCATCCATAAATATCGTTTCGAACTTTCCTCGAAGTTTCCAACCAAGAATTTAAGAGTGCCAAAGGACAATTTAAGAGATCAATGATAAACATCGATATTTTAAAAGCATCAATGTATCATTTGCATTCCTAGTTAAAATTACTGCATCAGATTTTTATAAATGAATAAAGTAAATTTATTTCTTACTCATCAACTGGTACTTTAGAATAATTAATGAAAAGCCATTATTCTAACTAACTATGAAGTCAATAATTGAAATAACTGCACTATATACGTCGTAACAATTTCCAATTGCTCATTATTAATATTTTTGCTCATTTCAAACTGTTTAACATTAAATAGAACCTTAATTAATATCTAGTTCTTCGTTTCCTTGTTGAAGTTCGTAGTGATTAGTCTTTTTTAATCAGTAGCTTATTTCTTTCGAATTACACACATGATCTTGAAATTGCAAAACTGAACTTAAAACATATCAGAAACAAGTTTTAATTAATACTACATTAAGTCGAGAGGAAATAATTTATATTATTCTTTTACTATTTTTTTATATAAATTAGATACATAAAACTGTTACTGTTATAATAGAAACCATAAATATCATAAAGTTGTGACAATTTGAAAAAAAAATATTCACCAAGTCTTTTGGTTTAGTTTGGCCTTTTGTTATTTCGTATAATTCACCGAGCCTACCATAACACTTTTTAGCGGTGTATGCCAGTGAACGTGGCTATACGTGACGGCCATCAGACCTATTATCACGTATGGTGCAGTTGCCTGGTGGCAGAAAGCCAACCAAACAACGGCAAAGAGTAAATTGTCGAAACTACAACGACAAGCATGCTTAGCGGTGACTGGTGCCTTCCATTCCACGCCGTCAAAAGCTATGGAAACCCTACTCGACCTACCTCCTCTTCAAATTCTTTTGGAAAGAGAGGCGAGATGGGCTACATATAGGTTTCTAAATATAGCACGAGGAAGCCAAGGAACAATTATGTTCATACAAAACCGGCTAGTAGAAGAACTACAGTCGGATGAGATTCTGGGAATGATCTCTCGGATCTTTACACCACCAGTCAACTCTTCGGCGCGCGCACCTACAACGTCCTGTTTCCGAATAGGACAGTGGGATAAGCTGGGAAACGGTTTACTACATGCGGAAATGTGTTGGTACACGGACGGATCAAAAACGAAAAAAGGATCTGGAGCAGGAATTTACTGCAGCAGTCCAAAGACTGAGATCTGCTACAGTCTTGGAAAACACGCCACGATCTTCAAGCTGAGCTGTATGCTATTGAAACCTGTGTGTGTAACTGCTGGTAGAACAGCAATACACCGGGAAACAATGGCGCTTATTTCGGATAGTCAAGCCGCGCTGAAAGCACTTGAGGCAACGAAAAGCACGTCTATGACGATTCTTCAATGTAAGAAACTACTCAATATACTGGGAGATAGGAACAAAGTGTCGCTAATATGGATACCGGGACATGTCGGCCTAGAGGGAAATGAACGTGCTGATTCCCTAGCCAAAAATTGGTGCAGGCTCGCCATTCGTGGGCCCAGAACCCACACTTAGCGTTAATAAAAATCTCGCAAGAGACAGGCTCTGTGAATGGGTTAGGAGTGCGACGTTCCGGGACTGGAATGACAGTCCCGGAATGGAACATGCCAAGAAAATCCTAGCAGGGCCATCCAAACATAGAACAGGAGAACTCCTAAAGGCCGGTAGGAATGGAACGCGTGTGCTCACTGCAGGTGGCTACGGGCCACTGCCAGGCTGAGATCTCACCTACAGAGGACAGGACGCTGGTGGAAGACGCCGAATGCCGACTCTGTATGGAAGATGACGAAACAATGAAGCACGTTATGTGTACTCTGCCCTGCTGGAGCAGGACCAGGTTTGAATGTTTGGCAAACCCATGCTGAGACCTATCAGACCTAGGAGACATATCGCCCTCAGACATAACGGCCTATATTAGAAGGCTGGGTCTTGAGGGTGAACTTTGATTACTCTTGTAAATTAGGGCATTAGAAACTGAGCCACAATAGGCCCTCGCGGCCTCAGTGGAGAGGGACCCCCATGGGACCCACTCTTAGTCAATACAATACAATGCCAGTAAACGTAGCCGAGTATTATAATATGTAAAAGTGGAAAAATTAGTAATCAACCAATCTCAACGGGAATATGTAGATTTAATAATTAATTAATTTTTAAGTAAATATGTAGATTCTCCTATTTAACCCCTCAAAAGTCTCATTCGGTCCCAGTGGGGGAAGTTTGAAAAAAATGTTGGATTTTTTCGTTTTTTTTCAAATATCTCCGTTTGCATAACTTTTTTCGAAAAAACTAAAATATGTTTTTAGTGATATAATAGATAAACCAAGTATAAATTTAAAACAATTAAAAATAACGTTTAAATATTATTTATTAAATAAAATTATTGTTAAAAAAATATTATTAAATTAAAGTTATTAAATAACATATACTTTGACGTCATCCTCAGCGTCATTTTAGCCCTCAACTAAAATACAAAAGTTTGTGCAACTGATTCCGTAGCACTGACCACACTTTAAAGAACATGCAAAACCCAGCTTTCTACAAGAGCAATTTTTAGAACACTGACTCTCTTTGCAATTGCAATAAAATAATTTAAGTAGATCAGGAGGCGCTACATTTTCTGTTGATTGAATAGGTGTCAGATTGCCTTTTTGATCTTTCTTCCATCCATATTGTAAAGGATCTAACTTAATACTAATCCATTCTTGAATCTAAAAAATACAACTTATAACATTTCCTATAATAGATATATCTTTAGAGTTACCTGAAAGTATGTCCTGAGTAAATGGAGTTTTGCAGAGTTCTCAGTTGGAGGCAAATTAGCTAAATTAAAGGTGGTCTTAAAGGGATTCTCCAGATGGTTCATATCTTTTTAATATAGGTCGGGCAGTGATATAGCTTTAAAAGATAATTTAATTCTGACTGAAACAAAAAAGAATGTGCCTGTCGGTACTGAAAAAGATGACGATCTTTGTCATTTCGATTCCAAATATCTCGAGAACCATTACTCGTAGCCATTTTTACCAAGAGACCTTTTTTACGTAAAAACGTCCTTAAATGTATATTTTTTTACTCAGTAGTTTTATGCTACAGGTACGGACGAAGTTATTACTCTTCAAACCAGTAAAAAATATGTAGGTGGTGCCCTCTACAGAGTAGAGTCATATTGACGTCAAAATCAAATTTCCCCCTGACAAAAACTCCCAGACACCAATTTTCATCCAAATATTGACGTTACCTCAGAAATTATTTGGAAAAACAGATAAATATGAAACTTCTACACCCTGTATCTGCAAAACTAAGCATTTTTGGTCATACATTTATGCAAACTTTTTTACTTATTTTTATCTCAGAATATAGGTACTGCCGAAGTTTTTGGAATACAGTTCGGACCACGCTATAGAACAATATTATTATTCTATAAACTTAGTCGTATATAAATTAGAACATAAAAATATTTCCTTCTATACTTACCAGTACTAGGTACTTATTAATTTTCTTTCTTTTTCGATCGTTTCAGCTGATCGCTAGTCGCCCGATCCGGCAACACCGCTCGACTGGTTGTAGCCGTGGTTTGCGGCATCGGCAGTCCGAATTTCGCTCGGTTCAAAATCCGAGCGACCCGGAGGCGGTTGCAACCAACCAACCTGGTGGAAAATATCGATCTTCCATTCGATCCAAGATTGGGCGTTCGATGTTATTAGGTAAGTCGATATCGATACTTTGAACGCTTTTATGTGGAGTTCTACTTCGAACATCAGTCAATCAATCATCATTTCATCAACAATCATTCATCTCATGTTGTCGACAATAGTTGGTCGAGTTTTATAAACACTGTCTTTAACATACCATCAAAAAAGGCATGATTAGATAAATTAGGAACATTTAAGTATTCTATTAATTGCTGAATGCACACTGCAGTCACCAACTAATAGAATCATATCAATTCTCTCTGATGTAGGAAGTTTTTGGTAAACCATTTTTGGTAAATTTCTGAGATTTTTTATTTTAACCGACACAAAATGATAACTAGTTGTTAAAGTTGAACTAATTTCACAGATATGTTGAAGTAACGTCAGACATATCACAGCCACCTAGATTTTATCAAATAATAAAGATCTACTGATACTAAATTATAAAAATGAAAATATCTAGAAAAATCTTTGTTTAAGTGGCAGACAACTTAATAGTATTTTGAAGAGACTTGGATTCCATTGAATGTCGAAATAATATACTGGGTGTTTCATTTTAAATAAAAGAATAATTTGCTTTTAAAGGTGACTAATGTTCAATATTAATTTTGTCTCACCCTGTATAACTTTTTGAACCAAGTTTTAGTTAGATTTAAAGAAAAATCGTTATTTTAACTACATATTAGGCTATACGGGGTAAATTCGAATTTAGGTAGTTTTTACTGAAATTTAAAATTGTTCTTCATTTTTAGAAAATGTTAAATATGTCAAAAACCTTACATTTTAGTCATATACTTCTTTGATGAAATTCACATTTATTTTTCTTCTAGAATCCGAAAATCAATTAATATATGGGGTGTTCCATTACAAAAAACACAACATTGATGTATAACTGTTTTTGGGGACACCCTGTAGAAATCTCTGTATTTTTAAAAAATGCTCTAAGTGAACCTACATATGGCCTGTATTATGAGAGTTCACATATCATGTTATATTTATAAAATAAATACTTGTTTGTACATCGCTGATATACAGGGTTGTTCACCACATACGACACGGATTATTGTAGCTAAACGATGAGATTTTTACAAATTGTAAGTTTTGGGTTCGATGAGGGACTATTAGAGGTACAATTTAAAAATAATTTTACAAGATACAGAGTGTCCCAAATAAAGTAAAAATATCAAAGTTGTATTTTTTTAAATGGAATACCCTGTATATTATTACATTTTAGTTTCTACGATTAAAATAAAGGTAAATTTGATTAAGATTTATTATACTTAAACCTTACCGTTTTTGAAATATTTTCAATTTTGTGAAATTGCAGTAAAAATTTTAAGGCTTCATTGCTCCAAGGGTATCAAAGTTTTTAATACTAAATATTTACTGAAGTTTATTTACTAATCAGTTATTGTGTTGCAATAATAAAAATAGTGTAGTTTTAGAGTGTCTAAAAATTTATTTTAAATGATTATTAGCTTCAAACGGCAATAACTTGTTTAATTTAAATGGAACACCCTGTATATTTTACGAGAATCAGATGCACAATTTAATTGTCTATCAAATTATATACCATTTTTTTACCTATCTCTTTAAGTTTCCGTAGAAAATGCATTTTCTTGTAATTTAGAACTTATTTATCAATATACCCATGGACTATTGACATTTTAGATTATTTTTAAAGATGTACCAAATTTTTAAAGAGTACAGATACTAATATTGTCGATATAATTCGTTTATTTCATTAAAAAAATAAAAAACTGTTTAAAAATATTTGTTACAGAGGACCAATTAATATGATTCCAGTATTCAAACTACATTAACTGACTGTTTGCGTTGATTAATAATAATATTGTTCCAAATACTAAAAACTGAATTTTGTATGGGCATTAGACAGTATGATAAAGGTAACACCTTAAAATGATATTTCATTTTTTAATAAATGCTATTTATAACAACAGAGACTTTAATTTGATAACTTATTATTATATTGATTTCTGACTCAAATCCACATTTATTTATAATAATTTATTAACGAACACAATTAAGTATGTAATTAATTAGTATATGGGCGGAAAATGGTGTTATATTTAATTAATGGTATACTCTTTTATAAAGATTTAAATAGTTTTTCTTTTGCATACAAATGGGCTAGTAATATTATCGTTTTGCTAAAAACGATAATATTACTAGTCTGTACATTTTGTACATTTGTTGCTTTAAAAACAATCTAAAATGTCAATATTCCATGGATATATTGATAAATGAGGTATAAATTATAAGAAAATGCATTTTCTACGAAAACTTGAAGGGATAAATAAAAAATGGTATAATACAATTTGATAGACAATTTAATTGTGCATCTGATTCTCCTAAAATATACAGGGCATTCTATTTAAATTAAAGAACTTATTGCCGTTTGAAGCTAATAATTATTTAAAATAAATTTTTACACACTCTGTATAAGGTAGTATTATTTTTATTATTGCAACATAATAACTGATCAATAAATAAACTTCATTAAATATTTAGTATTAAAAACATTGATACCCTTGGAGAAATGAAGCTTTAAAATTTTTACTGCAATTTCACAAAATTGAAGATATTTCAAAAACGGTAAGGTTTAAGTATGATAAACCTTAATCAAATTTACCTTTATTTTAATCGTAGAAACTAAAAATGTAATAATATACAGGGTGTTCCATTTAAAAAAATACAACTTTGATATTTTTTATTTATTTGGGACACTCTGTATCTTGTAAAAATATTTTTAAATTGTAGCTCTAATAATCCTTCAGCGAACCCCAAACTTACAATTTGTAAAAATCTCATCGTTTAGCTACAATACTCCGTGTCGTATGTGGTGAACAACCCTGTAGAAGGTTGTAAAAATCTGTATCTTTCACATATGTTGACTCATCAAGAAGTTTGTGTCTGCCCCTCAAAATTACATTGACATTGCAAAAATTTGCAAGTTTTGAATCACTAGTATAAACCTTAATTCATATGCATATGCGTTGAGTGTGGTCACTGACGCCACTAAATCAAACCAAGAAGACACATTTTGACTAATTCAATTCGTTTTTGTTTTAACAAATATGAAGAATAAACAAATACGAACATCAAAATGTTGATTTATTTATTCAGGCGATCAAACAAGACTATTCAAAATCTTAACTTTACGATTCAGTATAGTTGAAGGATACTGAAAAAATTTCTTCTGTAATTATACATTCTCACACGAATAGGTACCCTAAAAATCGACTATAGTTTCCTTCATTTCATGAATAAAAAAAAGCAAATAAAGAAAATGAGCTCTAAAAGATTAATGAATGAATCAGTACGATTTTTTCAATATGATCTATCTTCAAATTATATACCGGGTGCGTCTCAAAAGTGACTCACCCTTATAACTTTTTTATTTTTTCAGATAAAAAAGCGAGATTTGGTATGTTAGTATATGACATTAACTAGGATTGATTGACGTATTCAATTGTTATTGGTGACTTTCTGATTCACCGGAAATGACTACAACTTTTGATTTTTAAATGGCACCCTCGGTATTTTTTTAATTTATTTGATAGAAAATGACACTTAGAATAGAATGAGATATCATATGTCAACTTTTGACATTTTCGTTTAAAATCGTATTTTAAATTTCAATATAGAGTACCTACCATGGCTGTGTTAAAACACTAATTTTTAATCAAGGAGCCTTTGAAAAATAGTTTTGGTCGTCTAAAGGCTGATTCATGGTACACCGGGCCGTACCCGAGCCGGCACGTTCCGTAAAGTAGACACCGAGCCACGTCCGGGCCTTCAATATATGCTACACCGAGTGGACAACGGGGATCATGTCCGTGCCGATTATATTCTAGAAAACAGTGTTGCCGCAGTGGTATTTGTACCAAATTTGATATTTTAATTCTATTTGGTTACAGTGGTACTACATTTTTCAAATCCAGGATGATTTGGTACAATAATTATTTCCCTCGCGCACCGAAAATGAATAGATATTTAATAATTATTGTCGTTGATATTGCATTAAACGCGCTTACCGATACCATTCGGAGACAATCCGCATTAATTAACGACGTATTATAAACGTTGTAATGTCTATAGCGTTGCCTATATTAAATAACCCGAAGAAAAAACTTGAAAATTTACTGTTACTAACATGCTTCTATATTTGCGTTTTTTTTAATAAAATTTAAGTTTCCAAGTATTGTGTGTAGTATTAGAATTATTTAGATTTCTTCAACCTATACATACTTATAATTGGGGTTTCTGAATTTCTATTTCATGTTTTCGTCTCGATTTGTGTCTTTCTCCAGGAAGTTCTTTTTTATGTAGAAATTTATGCGAAGAAATTCACAGCGACCAAACCGGTTAAAAGTCATTTGCAGATGTATTTTGTTGTGCTTTAAAAATTGTACCAAAAGTGGTACATTTTAGTTTATAATGTGGTACGCGCTAAAAGTTGGGTGCGGCAACACTGCTAGAAAACAGTCGCTATAGGCCCGTAGACGAACGAAGTATTTAGCCCGGGCGATTCATTTATGTTTGCCGCAACGGGGCCGGACCGTAGCGGATCCGAGGAAAAATGTACACCGACATTTCTCGGACGGGGCACGGACGCGTTCCGGCGAAGCTCGGCCCGTGCTCGGCTTAGCATGAATGCATATGTATAAATAACATTTGACAATGTTTGGCCGTGCCTCCACCTCGCACGGCCCCGGCCCGTCACGGTGTACCATGAATCAGCCTTTAATGTTTTTCGTGTCTTGTCCTGGCCGGTTAAAAGATGCCCAGATCGAATTTTTAGTCATATTTCAACTTTTTCAAATGGAACGAGGGTGTGTCAGAATTTGGTACCACACATTTGGTATTTCGAGTCAAATTGTCGTTGTGTGCATGTTACAATTTCAAATAAACCATATGAGAAAATATCAAAAGTTGACATATGATATGTCATTCTATTCAGAGTGTCATTTTCTATCGAATTATGTAAA